GATGTTAAGTTGAAGACAAGTTTAATCTTGTAAGGACAGTATTTAGATGTTAAGTTGAAGACAAGTTTGTAAAATTGTAGTGACTGTATTTGTATGTTAACCCAAATTTTACAGATCTTTCTATGGTCAAGGGTCGAAGGCCATGTCATCGTGTTTGTAGACTTGCTTTCAAAATTTTATTGAACTACTATTTTTATTAATGTATGTCAATACATTTGGTATAAAATTTTAGTATGATCCTTTGGTAAATTTCTTAATTTAAAAGTATATATTAAAAAAAAAGAAATCCTAAATATTGAATTTTGTATGCCACGTGGTATGTTGAATGCCGCAGTGGTTCAAATTAGATGTTTGTGATGTCCAATTATTACTTGTAAATTACTTGTACCTGATGATGACAAAACCTTGTCGAAACGTTGTACATTTGCTGTTGTATTAAAGTTTTTCTTCATTACCCATTCAAGCCGTCTCCAGCCATTATTAGTCTCAAAGTGGGTTCCTCGTCATCGAAATCGAATTTCAATACAAAACTTACTTCAAAAGCCAACTGGTGTCCACTCCAAATCCAGATGCCAGAGATGGTGCTGTTATGGTCTTATCCATTCTTCCTCATTTTATCCAACCTTTGGAACATACCTAACATTCTGAAAGAAAAACAATTCTGAGAAAATCTTTAATTAAAAATTTCTTAATTTAAAAACCTGATATTTTGTGTACAAAAGCCTTGTAACTTTTACCAATAACCTGCAAAATTTTGTAAAAGTATGCATACCATATCAAAAATCATAGTATAATTACTCTCATGGATACTTTCGTGTTTACCCAGCTCGTAAAGAAAGGGTTAAGTTGAAGACAAGTTTAATCTTGCAGGGACTGCATTTAGATGTTAAGTTGAAGACAAGTTTAATCTTGCAGGGACTGTATTTACATGTTAAGTTGAATAGAAGCTTAATCTTGCAGGGACTGTATTTAGATGTTAAGTTGAAAATGAGTTTAATCTTGCAGGGACTGTAATTAGATGTTAAGTTGAAAACGAGTTTAATCTTGCAGGGACTGTAATTAGATGTTAAGGTGAAAATGAGTTTAATCTTGTAGGGACTGTATTTACATGTTAAGTTGAATAGAAGCTTAATCTTGCAGGGACTGTATTTAGATGTTAAGTTGAATAGAAGCTTAATCTTGCAGGGACTGTATTTAAATGTTAAGTTGAAAATGAGTTTAATCTTGCAGGGACTGTATTTAGATGTTAAGTTGAAAACGAGTTTAATCTTGCAGGGACTGTAATTAGATGTTAAGGTGAAAATGAGTTTAATCTTGTAGGGGACTGTATTTACATGATACATTGAAGATAAGTTGGTAACTACTTACACAACTCCTCATAATGTAAGTTGTTAAAAAATAAACATGTCTGTACCATTTCTCTTTGTTCTGAAATATTTACAAAGTAATTAGGGGTGACTTTAAATACAGAACTCGGAGCTTCATTTATAATGTAAAGATGTAAACTACATTTTTGTTGTAGTATTTTCAATTTAACTGTTGAACAGAAAGTGAGAATATGACAATGAACAGTCTTAGATTAATATATTAGAAACAATGTACAAGCTTAGATGAATATATTAGAAACAATGTACAATCTTATATGAATATATTAGAAACAATGTACAATCTTAGATGAATATATTAGAAACAATGAACAACCTTAGATGAATATAGTAGAAACAATGTACAATCTTAGATGAATATGTTAGAAACAATGTACAATCTTAGATGAATATAGTAGAAACAATGTACAACCTTAGTATGAATATAGTTGTAACAATAGTACTAATACTTAGTATGAATATGTTAGTAACAATAGTTACAATCTTAGGTATAGATATATTA